TTCTAGATCCCATTAGTTTATGAAGTGCGGACTTCTTTGGGGGGAATCTATATTTAATTTAGTACTCTAATTTTTAGGTTTTGCTCTATCTCCTTCTAAAGCACTGCCTTGTTGCTGAAAATGTGCTCCATAAATAAAATTACCTTTCCTTGAGGAACAATGGGAAAAACTGGCGTTACATCCGCCACCTAGCATAGTTTATTTCAGCAGCTGTTTGTTCACCATCCCATTTTAGTAATCTATTTGTTTAGAATGCTCAAAGGGTCAGCACAGGTCCCGCATCTATGCCTCTTTCATGCCATGCTCAATTTTACTTTTAAGTTGGTGAGCCCGGCTCTCAACACCTACGTCCCTCACTCAGGAAGTCTCCAGCTCTGCCTGGTCCTTAAATTTCTTAGAAATCCAAGATTTATGTGAATTCCCTTGGCCATTTCCAGGCCTCATACTTAGATCACAGGCAGCCTCGCACTACCCAAAGGGGAGTTGCTGGTTGTCAGCGACATCCTTTTTTGGTATCCTCCCAGACCTCTCCTCCATTCTCACCACCCTCAGACAATGGGTAAGCATTCATAACAAATCACTGGTGGTGGAGTGTTTCAGCAATTCTAATTTCCATTTCTGCCGAGGTAGACAGCCTGCAGGCCCCAGACGCCATCGTGCCTAGCAAGGCTTGACAAGCCTTCAGGCCCCAGCCACCAAGCCGCACCTAACAAGGCTTGAAACAGCCTGCAGGCCACGGCCTGGCCTTGGCCCGGCACCCTCTTTTGGGGGGAAAACTTCCCTGAACTTTGCCCCGAGCCGATCGTCCAAGCTCGCGGCGATTCTTATGTCTCCTGCCGGTGTCCGAGCGCCAAAACTTTCGGGCCAATAAAACTTTCTAACTGCTGCTTTTATCTGTGTGAGTCTCTACAGATTGAATTAACAATACCTTATTTAAGGTACATGCAGAAAACCTGTCCAATTTCTAATCCCAGTAATGAAATTGTTCCGTGGCGCCTGTTCTTTTTGAATCTATAAAAACGATTGCTCCTGATGAAGAAAGACAAATTTATCTTTTTTTCCCCTGAAAATGGAGCTGCTGTCACATCTCTGTCAGTCCCTGTTCTCAACATGACTTTTGTGGCCTAATCATTTAATCTCCCCCTCTCTTCCCTTCCCCACCTCAGTCTGTCTGTATTACCCACTTGTGTCTCTTTTTTGCTGCACTCCTCTATAGATCAACTTTGTGGAGCCCTCAAGCCTCCCATACTTATCACTTTTGACTAGTGAATCAATAACTGAATTACTTTTATGAAACCACACTAGTAGAAGTGATGAGGGCTCTGCGTCAGCCTCATGCCAACCACTTAACATTTCTAATCTTGCAGGCGGTTCTGTATGGATCAGCTGCTTTGAGAAGAACTGGAGGAAATGAGAAACCCAGATGTTTTTTAATTAGAAGCTGGAGCCAAACAAACAATGTCAGTCGGGCCACTTATCAACATTAGTCAGCAATAGTAGACAGGCGTTAAGGTCAGTGCAGAATTGGAGATTTTGTGAGTCATTTGTAAATACCAAAAAAAAGAAACATTTATCAAATTAGGACCAGGCTGACAAACACAAGATTGAAAGGATTATTTGGCTAAAACAACCAACACTGATTTATTTTTCTATACAAACCATCATTATTAATTTAAAAGATGTAACTTAGTCAAAATTAAAAAATACTTTACAATCACTCTGAAGATGCATAGATAATGACTTTCAACATTTTGGGATTAATAAAGTACCATAAGACCCCATTTAGACTGAAAAATACACAGGAGCCCCAAGTAATGTGATGTGCTTTAAGAAGCAGCAGAGAAATGTCTCAAAATTTAAGTACATTGTAAAAAATTAGAAGGTGGTTTAACTTGTAAATGAAAGTCCACCTACTTCCTTGAAAATGCAATTTAAGTCAACAAGAAAACTGTATTGGTTTTTACTATAAAGTTGATTTATCAAGAAGAGACAAGTTGTCTAAACATTGTTTTTTAAGTTCATTAATCTTGAATTGTGAATTTTACTTAAGTGCTGCAATTTAAACCAAATACTTATTTCACAATATGAAAGAAAAACTGTCCTCACATAGAGTTGCTAGTGTGCTAAGGAGCACACATCTATCTTATTTTTATTCACCACATCCAGTTAAAGTAGCTACATATTTTACATTAGAATAATTCAAATTCTCGTTGCAAATTGCATGAACAAATTTCCTGATCTAATAAGATTTTTTTCAATTTTAAAATTTTCAAGGATTTATTCATTCTTAACAAATAAATCCAAACCAAAACAATTTTTGTAACAAAAATTATGATTTTTTTCAATATTACAAAAAAACACAGGCAAATATATACATATACATGTTCCCTTTACATCAACATCACAACACATCAATCACTTTTTTTTCCATATTAATATTTTATCTTTGCCTTTTTTTGCCTAATGGGTTTTTCAAATTATAATCTTTAACTAAAGTGACAACACTTTTTCTTACCGTTATTTTCAGCAACTTCATGTTTTTTTTAAATACTAAGATGTTTCTTGCTCTCCTAATAGCATCTTTTATGCAATTAATGACTATCCTCCAGAGGAAGCAATTTTTCTCCTAGGCGTCTTTCATTAGTCCGTAAACAATCAATTCATAGGAAAAATCACCACAACCACTCTGCTACATTCGTTGTATAAAAGTTTTATCCACCTTTTAAATGTGTCTCTGAAACGGAGTTGACATAATATTGATTCTAAGAACTTGTGGTTCAAACTGTCAAAGGCCTTCTCTAAATCAATCCCCAAGATAGAGAAAGGAAGCTTTCTTTTTTGGCAATAAAGGTAGGTGTCTCTAATCAAAGCTAGGCTGTCATTTTGCATCCAGGAATCCCACAAGTTTGTTCTTTGTCTATCAGCTTTGAAATAACTGACTGTAGATGAAAAAATAAAGTTTTTTATAATATTTTAACATCAACTCAATTGGAGATCTTTAATAAAGTTAAAGGTCTCCAATTTTTCAGCTCGTTTTGAAGACCTTTCTTGTACAATAAGAAAATCATGCCTTGATTCATAGCTCCAGGCAGTACACCTTTGCTAAAGGCCTCTTTATAAACCTGGAGCAGAGGAACATTTAAAAGGTCCCAAAAGGTAAAATAATATTCTTTTGGTAAGTGTTAGAAATATTTAGTATTTTATCTTATGTTTGCTGTGCTCTTATGTTTGTTGTTGTTGATGTGTGAAGTTGATTTAATCGTGCAATATCACCATTGTTCTGTGAGTACATCAGTTCCTGCATTGCAGCTACAGGAGGAAACAAACAGGAACTGAACTCTGCACTCACACTCTGCACTACTCAGCTTGGAGGTGCAACAAGACTGTGACTCAAGATAAAACAGAAGAAACACTATGTAATTAACTCAAGATAACAGAATAAGCTATATAACTAGGGACCACCATAAGGAAATAAAAAGAGAGGGTATGGCAGAACGTGCTTTAGAGCGGTAGGAGATTGTAACTAATGCACGTCTCTGTCCGTTCTCCTTGCAAGTAAATTTAAAACTCTCTTGTCTTTCTCCTTTTTGTGCACTGTTTGAATGTTGTAGGTTGACTTTGAATCTGACAGTAAGCCATCTAGACCTGGTGATTTATTCTGCATGCTCGACATGACTTTGGTTATCTCGTTAATTGTAATTTCTTTACAATTAACTCCCTTTCCATTTGGGTTAGTTCATAAGTCATTTTAGAAAAAAATTGAAACATCTCTTTGTCTTGAATTTGTTGATTACTGTATAATTTCTTATAGAAACCATAAATTTCAGAAATAATCTGTTGGCTATCTTTTAATTCCTCACCTTTTTCATTAATGTATTTATGAGTGACTTAGTTCAAAATAATTTCCTAAAGAAATCCCTTGTACATTTTTTATTTTCTTCCAAACAAAAAGAGAGATGCAAACAAAAAGTGCTGAAAACGGAAGTGCTCCAGATCACGAGGGGGAGTCTAACAAAAAACAGCTGTGTCCGAATTTAGGCTCTGCATTCTTTAAAGCGGGTGTTCAGAAAAGCAGCAATTGGGACAAAATAATTTTTTGCTGTATTACACTTAAAATTACACAAAATTATTTTTTACAATGTTTTTAGGCAAGAATGTAGATGTATAGATCTCAAATATCTGCTCGGTTCACTTAATTCCAATATTGCTCCGATGTTTTCGGAGATGTCTGCTTTTGCTGCATTAACAGCCAGCTCCCCTCACCAGCTGTCAGGTGGCCGGGTGCTCCATGTTCGGAACACCGAGAGAGAACCCATGTCTCCCGGCAAATCGTTATAAAAACTCCCGCTAGTTTCCCCCTATGAGTGGAGGTGGAACACGGATATTAAGTCAGGTAGTAGTAAAATATTTTGGTTCACCAAAGTATTTAATTTATTCCTGAGAAAATGGGTTTGACTGATTAAAGTTAAGCCTTCAAACATAATAGTTTTATTTAACTGTAATGTATTTGAAAATGAATAATGCCCCTTGTATACATTAAACATTTTAGAATCAGACAGATTTCTTTTTTACTATGGAACAGCCTTTATTACAAAAGGTGAAGAATAATACAGAAATGAAGAGTAAAAAAACAACTTTGAGTCCGTTTTTTTCCTTCGCTGCTCTGTGCTTCACGTTGTCACGGTTGCTAAACAACATAACGCTGAGACGGAGGCTAGGCAGCTAGCCGGAGGCTACAGCTTCTCTCTTCTGGTCGTCCATATTCGTGGCCTTCGAAGGACCCGTCTTCCATAGACCGGGCCGTTTCTCACATAGACATGATAAAAGGACAGACGCCTAATGGACCGCTCTCGTCTTGTCAATACATACTTATATAAGAATACAAACATAAATAAATAATCATTAATACTGAATAATATACATTAGGCTATGCATGATTATGCACACACACACACACACACACACACACACACACACACACACACACACACACACACACATTATATATAATGTTTTCCAGCCTACGAGTTCTGGTTTAAGAGTGATTCAGCAGCTGAGATTGGGTCCAAAATCCGATACGAGATTCATCCGTGCTGTGCAGTGAATCTTTCTCTCCTTAAAGACATTTCTTCCTTCTTCCTCACGTCGTAGGAAACCTTCAAAACAAAAACGGGACATTTTCGAGTTATCTTACGTTGACAGAGTTAAATAATTAAATAATAGCCATTGTCATCTGTGTAAACTTTGCTGGTGAATGTTATGATTTTTATAATATTGTTTCATTTCTATAGTAGGCTCTTGTATCAGATAATCTAAATGGTGGAGAATCACTGAAACATTTTAAGATTTACGGAATCTTGGTTAGCTTTCAGAGCGGGGGCTGAACACCAAGCACTATAGCTAGCATTAGCTGGTATTTCGCCAGTGGACATAAATACAGTATAGTAATTCTAATCACAAAAAATACACAGTAATATGTCCATCTTACTTGCGAAAAGTCTGTCAAGCCCTCACGTCAGTAGTCCGTCGATTCGATCAACAATATTCCGCAGTGCTGAGACATCTTCTGCTGTTTTGGTTGAGCAAAGCAGGAGGGACGACCGCTTCAAGAGCGAATTTGCGCCGGAGCAGCAAACTCTTTTATTATGTCTATGCTTCGAAGGATCATTTTTACAGGGCCCTTGAAAGGATGCAGAGCCTAAATTCGGACACAGTTGTTTTTTGTTAGACTCCCCCTAGTGGTCTGGAGCACTTCCGTTTTCAGCATTTTTTGTTTGCATGTCTCTTTTTGTTTGCTGCATTTTATTTGTGGTCGTAGTCTTTTTTGTGTCTCTTTTTTTGTTTGCTGCATTAGCTTTTTATTTGCGTCTTTTTTGTTTACTGAATATCATTTGTTTGCGTCTCGTTTTTTGTTTGCGTCTCTCTTTTTGTTTGCTGCATTTTATTTGTGGTTGTAGTCTTTTTTGTTTGCATCTCTTTTTTTGTTTGCTGCATTAGCTTTTTGTTTGCGTCTCTTTTTTTGTTTGCATCTTTTCTCTGCTGCTGCGAGTTTGCACTTGTCGGCCACAGTAAAAGAGTCAAAATAAAACCTCACAACATTGCCAAAAAATTCAAGTATAAAACTTAACATTCAAAGGCAAATACAGGATTCATTACAATAAACAATCCTGAGTTACTGAATGAAAACTTCCTGATAGCATGGCTAGCTGATTACTGCTAGTTCTGAGTGGCTGTTTTCTGACTGAGCCTCCGCTAATTATGCAGAACAGGGAGGAGGCAGAGAGATCGATTATTTTTTCAGAGACTACTGTCTGATGTTAGGACAGCGAAAGTTTTAATACATATGTAAAATGTATTTTTTTAAGTTAGATGCTGCAGCTTTAAGCAGAGGTTCGGTGTGAGAGTTCACTACCAGGTGGAGCAGAAGCGAAGCTCCGTCTGTGAAATATTACTACCTGTAGCGTAGCAGCGGTTCAACAGGAGAGCAGAACCAGCGTCTTACATCGCAGCTCGAAGACTTAAATAATTTCGCGGGTTATTTGTTTAGCTTTCTGACCGTCATGCTAATCCGGGTGAGTGTTTGTAGCTGTGCGCTGCTTTACCTGCTATCTATTCGCTCCATATGTCTTTTTACTGCAGTGAGCCTCGATGTAGCCAAACTCCGTCAAGTATGGCACTGTTTTATGCCATATTTGATGCATTTTGACCTGCTTCAATTTTGACCTGCTT